ATTTCATATATAAATAAAAAATAAATAAATAAATAAAATAAAATGGTAAAGTGTCTGTCCAAGGAAATAAGCAGAAGATTTGTAATTCTACCAGTTCCTAAAGTTTGTGTTCAGGTTAACTTTACATTTATTTTACCGTTTCTGTGGCAACTCATTTGAGAGTACAACACAGAAAACCTGTTATTTTCACTGGTAATTTTTCCATTCCACCAAACTTTCAAATAACATCAAAAATGATTCTCAAAAGCAAGTCATAAAAGCCTACATAGCTACCTGCTCTCTCCAGTTCCCTTCACTCTTCAGAAGGAGGTTAATTATAATACTTGATAGCTGTCACTTTACTTCATTAGAGGAATAGGGTATGTGGGAATGTGCTTTAGTTTCTCTAAATAAAATCAATTTCAACCCCTCTTTATACATATAAGGCCTGTGCCAATGGATTCATGCTCTTTATCCAGAAAAGGGTACAATCTCTCTAACCTGTGATATCTGTATAGTGACCTTTTGTGATTCTTGTAATCTCTCAAGATGAAGGGAACAATGTTTCTGTTTAAAAATAAAATAAAAGGTTAAGGCTAGATGCTACTAGACTATATTTCACTAATTTTTAGAGGGAGTGAATAATCACTATGTACTTTCCCAAATGCTGGAGTTTATAATATTAAAGTGATTACAATTCAAAACACTTTTTTTTTTTTTTTTTTAATCAAAAGGGCTCTAACAGAAGGAATAAGCTTTGGATGAGTTTTCTCATAACCTACTTTCTCTTAGAAAAAGCATGCTAAGTTGAAAAGAAAGCCATAGTATACCATGCAATGGTTCACAACTTGCGCTTTAGAGTCAGACAGATCTAAATTTGATTACCAGTTATGTCTCTTACTATCAGTTCAATATTATAGCCGCAGTTTTTCCAGCTATATAATAGTAATAATACCTACCACTCGGAAGGCTGTTATAAAAACTCAATGAGGTATTATAAAGAAAACAGTTATCTGGCCCAGAATTAAACACAAAAAGTATTAACTATAATTATTATTTCTTACTAGCCAAAACAAATTATATTTTCAATCTCCTTAAAAACTAAAATTTTGTGCTTATTTTGTTTTTACATTTACTCTACTGCCTCTTGAACAACTGTTAATTTATGATTTAGGAGACCACATCAAAATAGGAAATTCTTCCCCCAATTCACACCCTATTTATTAGGGCAGAAAGTTAAGGTTCTGGTCCCAGTTCTTGAGCTCTTATCCCAGTTTCAACCAATGACTGTATGAATTTTCCTCTATGGACCACAATTTCCTCACTCTTTATGATTATTTATGACATTAATAAAGTGCCAAATATGTAGCAGAGAAGCTTGAGGAAAGCCAAAAACCTTAGTTTCCAGTTACACTGGTTACTGAGATAGGGGACTTACATAAACCTAGCGGTTAAGGTTTCCTACCTCCTTGGCCTTACCTAATTATCAGAACAATATTCACTTTTAAACCAGAGAAATGTACAGCAAATGATATATTCAAGTTGAAAGTAGTGTGGAATGTCCATAGCCAGAGGTATTTTTAGCTTCACATGACAATTCTTGAACTAAAATTTAGCTTCAGAATTATCGTATTTGCTTTTTAATAAATGAACTGGGAAATTATAACACTGGCTTATTCTACACACCTCTGCCTTAACCTCCTTATAATTCAACCGTAATTGCCTATATATTTTCTTTCTTAAGAATGTACTTCCTGGGGCGCCTGGGTGGCGCAGTGGGTTAAGCGTCCGACTTCAGGCAGGTCACGATCTCGCGGTCCGGGAGTTCGAGCCCCGCGTCAGGCTCTGGGCTGATGGCTGAGAGCCTGGAGCCTGTTTCCGATTCTGTGTCTCCCTCTCTCTCTGCCCCTCCCCCGTTCATGCTCTGTCTCTCTCTGTCCCAAAAATAAACAAACGTTGAAAAAAAAAAATTAAAAAAAAAAAAAAAAAGAATGTACTTCCCTGGGGCACCTGAGTGGCTCAGTTGGTTCAGAGTCTGACTCTTGATTTTGGCTCAGGTCATAATCTTGAGGTTCATGGGATCGAGCCACATTGTCTGACTCTGCACTGACAGCATGGAGACTGCTTGGGATCCTCTCTCCCTCACTCTCTGCTCCATCCCCACTCATGCACATGCCCTCTCTCCAAATAAATAAACTTAAAAAAAAAAAAAGAAGAATGTACTTCACTTAACCTAAAAAACTCAGTTTTACCTGCTTTCTCTAAATCTAAACAAATACAACCATCAAACACTATTCATCTCACAGCTAATCTTTCAAAAATCTAATATTGCATAGTTTCATGAGTCAGTACTAATTTTTCACAGTCACTTCACACAAAATGAGGGCCAAGATAATACCATAAGAAAGGTATAAATACTTAAAGA